AACTTGCGCTCATTTGCACTGTTAAAACAGAAATATAAAACAAATACTGGAAAAATTATTGAATTGTTTTAGCCCATCTTGAAGAATACTTATCAGGATACATGTAGTTTAACATGTTTGGTTCAGACCACTATATCACAGAACAGACATCCCATTACTGGGGTTTTATTCAGTGTATGTTGGAGGGAAGGTACCCCCCCCCCCGCTACTGGATAAGGGGGCAAATGGGAGTATGTCACTGGACAAATTTGGAGAAGCACAAATGACAAAGGATAGCTGTATTCTGGTTCACATCTTGTTTTGGCACATGCAAATTAGGTAGGTTCATATTTAAATGCAAACTGAATCAAATTTCTCAGCTATCCTTACATACAGCAATCCAACGTATTTAAAGGGTGACCACTCAGGAGTAAACAATTTGTGGATTAAAAAGTAAGGATAATGTAAACCTCCATAGTCAAATAAATAATCCATAGAAGGGATCAAATATCTTTTTTCCCCCATGTTTTGTTGCTTTGCCTCAAGGATGTCCCTCCCTTCCATAGAAAGCAATAGGATGAAAAAAATAGTGAATGAAAAAGGGAGAAAATAGCTTCACTAAAGCAGAATTACAATAGTATCTCTATGGAAGTGTATGTGACATTCATATGAATACCAAATGAATTCATTATGATCACCACTCTTACCATGAATACCAAATGAATGTATAATGAGTGGACTCTTAAAGAGCTACATTTTAAAAAATAATGCCAGAAATAATGGGAAAATTAACCTCATTATATTTCGAAGAGGTTATATTTAGACAAAGTATTTGCAGAGATTCAAGTAGCCTGTGATGATTTCTGGCCAGGCCTTTGTTGATAACGCTGCTCTCTCTCTAGCGCGCGCGCTCTCTCTCTCTCTCTCCTTCAGGACTTATTTCATATGCTAAATGTTAATTGATATTTATGCAGATGGTATACTGACTCACTAGTGATTTCAAATGTTTGTATATTTTCTCAGGGTAGTTTTTGTATGTACCCTACAATAAAATGTAGTAATCTAGTTTAATTTCCAGAAGGGTAGCCCAGTTACTCTGTTGTCACAAAACCAACGAAGAGACTTGTGGCTAACAGATTTATTATGGCATAAGCTTTCACATACCACAGGATGGATTAAGTAGTTCAACGCCGAGAGGGTTATGGGGTGCGATGTCTGCCATTCTGTTAGTTTCTACAGCAGGGAGGGATAATGTTTGTTGCTCGACTAAAACTCCCATCATCACTGGCCATTGGTCATGCTGGCTGGGGCTGATGGCAACTGGAGCTCAGCAACATGTGAAAGGTATGAGGCTCCCTACCCATTTCAAAACATGCTTGGCGGGTCATTTTCAGATCTCTGCAGCTCCACCCATAAAGGCTAAGGTTATGGCTTAGATCCTCTTTACTGTTCCACTAGCAGAGGAAAGGAGCTATCAGTGAAAAATGCCACTGTGGCCCCATATGCCTACGGAAGCTTTCACTGCATCCCATTCCCAAGGCATTATGTCTATTCCTAATGCTACTTATCTAGAAAGAAAACAAAATGCAAACTAATGTAAATTGACTGAGAGAGTTGCTGAAGTGCCTCCCGCAAGTTTACCACGATACTTCTAACTGGAGGTGCAAAATGGGAGAGGAGCAAAAGCAGCAAAGCCTTAACTTGTTTATTTCAGATTTGTTTGTCTGTTTGTTTTACTGTGCTTCGCCTGCAGCCGAACTTTCTTTACTGCGCTCAGCCTGCAGCCGCACGTGTGACATAGTCCCTAATTGAGACACATGAAGCTCATAAGAGACTTTAGACAAGATTCAGCTAGCCACAAAAGTCATTATCTCATTTTCATTTATTAACATGATATTTCCAATGGATTAACAAGGGTTTCCCTTTTGTTGCTTATGCTGTGACACTAGCCCTAAAGGAGCTGTTGCCTTCTCATATCTCAAGTGACTTTTATTCACATTAGATTACAGTAATGTTCATATTAAAGGAACGAACATTTATTATACTACTCAAATGAAAATTTCCTATTTAAAAGAGGATTTACTTGGGGAAAAGTTTAGGGTGAAGCAAGAGTTTGTATAAATGTTTATTTAATGATGTACTAGAGTAAAATAAATAAATAAATGTTCATACATCAAATACTTTTTATCTCAAAAGACAGATTTGGATAAATTACATGTCTTTTTAAAAAGCACTTCAACCCTGCTCTTCAAGACAGGAAACTTAAGAGCGGGTCACAATTTAAAATACAATTTATCAGCATAAACCAGCAGCATAAAAATAGAGGCAGATAAATTGCAACCGGAATAATCACTAAAGTTCAGCAAAGGCCTGAGTGCAGAACCCAAGCTTTAACCGTTGCTGAAATCTCAACAGTGCCAGTCATAACTCAAAGGGGAGGGTGTTCACAAGCAGCGGTGTCACCACCAAGAAGGCTCTCCCTTACATTATCACCAAACTTCAATAAAGACAGGACCATCAAAAGAGCCTCTCTGGCTGGCCACCCTTAATATACAAGCTGGTCTGCAGGGGACCAGGTGTTCTCTCAGGTGATCACAAGGTAAATCACAAACTTAGCATTTTTGACACATGACTGTGCATATTTATTTTTTTCATATGCATTCTGCCATTTCTTCAAGCAGCACATGACACTATTTCCATACCTGCGTGGCAGAATATTTTGAGAGAGGATATCTTACCCAAGATATTGGGCAAAGATGTACGTCAATCTACATATAAAATAAGGAGATAAATCATTCTAAATGTGGGTGGTGCCAACTTGAAGAAATTTTTATCACATGTAGTATGGCTACTTTTGAACCATGGGGTTGCATTGTAAAACTCAAGACATAATTAGTGTGCCCCAGTTTGGCGATTCAAAGGACAGCCAACCAAATTTCAACACACCTTTCACAGACTCACCCAATGAATCTGTGACCCTCAGAAAAGCAAAAATCTCTTCCTCCTTCTTTACAAGAAAAGAGTAATAGTGATATTTATTCCACAGAGCCTGGTATGCTATAAAATGTAGTAGGTTGCACCATATAAAATTAATCATTACAGACAGATCACTTGACAGATTTTGTTTTACAGATTTTCAAAACAACACAGCCCTGGCTGATGCGTTTTGGAATTTCTCCTGCCTTTCACATTCTGGAGGGTGCTTTGTGATTATTTTTTTCTGCACTGAGGTTATGCTCTTGGGATGCGGGCTGTCTTGACCAATCTAGAATGCCTGACAACAACAGCCGAAGCTGCCTACAGGTTGACAAGCATGCTGGTCAAATAACTGATTTAATCTCTTCAGTAATTTGGTGTCATATCTTGAATAATTTCTAAGGAAATCTTCTGGATGGGTCTTTAAGTAGGACTTCCACTCTGGGGGGAAAACTTAAAATACTCTGTGTTGTACATAAAGATCAATCATCGCATGAAATGTATTCTCATGTCTTCATTTTACATGTTTCTGTAATATAACAGTGCTCTAATGAAGAAAAATGATGAAATCCTTTGCCAGGCTGTGTTTTTACTGGAAGTGGTTTCTGAATTGCTCCTAAAACATAAAAGCTTATTTCACATTTTGTGTAGTACTGTAAAGTTTTAAGTGATACTCTGAACATCATATATTTTAAGATTGTTTCCTTATCTCTGTTGTTAATTACTCTTCGTAAAATGTGAAGAATGTTTAAGTGTCTAATTTCTTCCCTTCTTTTGCTGTGGCTGAGTTCTCTGCTTCATTTCTCTCAGCTAGTGGGACTTGAATACTTCTGTTCTGTTGTTTTCTTCTGTTACTTTGAAGACAGTTTACTGTTATTGGGATCTCAAAGTTTCAACCTGGGGATATTTTGATTCTAGGGACAGGGAGGAGCTGGAGAACTGCCCTTGGGGAAAGTATGCAATGTCAAAAGTTTCTTCAGTGGAGTCACATGCAATCCATGTTTCTCTCTATTAGCATCAACTCTATGGTTATAACTGGGGTATAAAGGATTTTCAAGACTCACTCCAAACTATAGGAAGGGGCCCGTCACTTTTGCTGTATTCTCTCTTCATCTTTTATTTCAAAGCCAGTAAGGTACTATTGTTTTTACCAATAACATGAACCAATGTTTCAGTTTCATAACAAATGAATATAATATTCATTCAGATGTGGCATTGTTAAAAAATAGATAACTACGGAGCCTAATGTCTCTGTAACCCTGTGTTGTACATCCTTTTATAGCCAATTAAGAGGATGCTTTATTTCCCTCATTAAAAGTGCAGCTCACCGTCACCATGTTGAATCAATAAGTACGAGCTTGCACATCCTGTACGCAACCTTTCCTTGAGTCACAGCAGCATTTGTCATCTTTACAATAAAGCTTTCCAATTTTCCTGATTAATATTTAAAAGAAATAACATGACCTGAGAAACATACACATCACACACACAAAAACACACACACTCATTCCAAGGCCTTATGTCCTATGCAGTTCATTTTCACTTAAGGTGAAATCACCTGGCCTTAGGTTATAATCTTCTTTTCAGAAATCCCCATCCCATCCCAGTTGTATAACTACACACCATCTTTCATGTCTCTCTCCCCCCCATCCCCAATGTAGCTAATATTTTTTTTAAAAAAACTATTGCAACAGGGCTTTCTCCATCTCTCCTTTCCCCACGGGTTCTGGGGATGTCAGCAGAAGCCCCAGAACAGCACCCAAGGGCAGGATAGGGGTGAGGATTCCCTCTAGCAACCTGGAATGCTTTCCCTGATATAGAATGATTGTCATAATACTATGTTGAACTCCTTCCCTAGTCTCTCAAGCCAGTTTATGGTTTCTGGAGATTTGATAGTCTAATGAAGTTTCTGTGTGAGCAACATATATGATCTAAATATTAGAGAAGCTCCACACCCATTGGGTTATATAAAAGAGCAGGTGGAGAAGGAGATGAGACTGCACAGCATCTCCATCAGCTCTTCTGAAAGACCACCAGGTTCTACCTGGACATGCCAGGAATTGAATCAGGGACCTTCTGCATGCAAAGCAGATGCTTTAATTAATTATTTAGCCCAAAAGGCTCCCATGGCAGCCTACAAAAATCAGTAGTATGTTAGTACAGGCTTACAGTCTTAAAGACATGATACACACAAAACGGGGATGGGGAGGGAGGAAGGAAAAAAGCAAGCTCAAGCACTAGTTCTTCAAGTTACAGTTCTTTTAATTATCAGCTAGGATGGAAACTATTCAGGAAGACTGGTGAAATGACTGCCTCCAGGTGACAGGTGAAGCAGGGCCAAAGGCAGCTGGTTTCTCAGAAGAAAGCAATCAAGACACAACCATAAAAATTGCAATCAATGTGAACACAGTAAGTTATATATGCAATCTTGGATTTACCATATTTTTCGCTCTATAAGACACTTCAGACCATAAGACGCACCTAGTTTTTCGAGGAGGAAAACAAGAAAAAAAATATTCTGAATCCCAGAAGCCAGAACAGCAAGAGGGATCGCTGCGCAGCGAAAGCAGCAATCCCTCTTGCTGTTCTGGCTTCTGTTATAGCTGTGCAGCCTGCATTCACTCCATAAGACGCACACACATTTCCCCTTACTTTTTAGGAGGGAAAAAGTGAGTCTTATAGAGCAAAAAATACGGTAATTGAAGTTCTGTGCCATACCAAATTCATAGAAACAATAATATCATATCAATACGAATCAACAATATTATATCAATACCAATCCTGATGTGTTAATAGGCATTAAAAATCAGAGACTCTTGATTTGGATGTAATGAGAAACTCTGGCTTAATGCAACTTAATGCATCCCAAAGCCAGCCCACGGTGGGAAGAAAGAAGGGGTAAAGTAGGAATGCAAGCCCACACAGCACTTGTCCGCATGATGGGGTGATCATCCAAACACAATCACTATCCATTGGACCACAGGCACTCTCACAAGTTGTGATAGAAACAAGGGAGGAAACCCTCAAAGTTTAAGTTGTGCTGGGACCCTTTAGCCCAGTTCTATAAGCTTTGGAGCAATATCTTTACATGATAAGACTGCTGGGCAATTTTTGTGTGCATCTCCTCCAGCTACTCGCAATATGGTAGCAATTTTGAGTTGAATGGATTCGCTAATGGAATGGATGACTCAGGGTAGCCAGCTCCAACAACACAGTCTTTAGTGCTTTCAGTAAATCTGCATTTCCCTTAACACAATTTTCATAAAATTCATAGCGAGTGAAACTGCAGTTAGGGGAAGGAGAAATAACTAGTCTTCATGGTTTAGAACACTTATCATGAAGATTCATAGTATTCATCCTCATTTTCATGCAACCTTAGCTGAGTGCTTTTTATTGTGGATAAATATATATATTTATATATACACATACTATACAGGGAGCAGCAACAAGTGACTGTGATGCTGCAATCCTCTCTCTCGCTCTTTCCCAGAGAAGCAGACGACAGACAATTGGAAGGCTGATGCTAACGGATTCAGAATATTTGATTTGCTGTTCTCACAATATTTTCTGCTCAGCCTGAGCCAGGAAGGAGTGTCTCCTGGGAGCTTGTTCTCATGAAATTCCCAGCAACCAAGGAGGTTTGAACAAGAGGTTTTGATAAGCGCTGGATATGCATCTGGTTGAAAGACGCATCTAGAAGCTGGAAGCATAAGCTTTGCTCATCACTATCTATAATGCTGATTCAGTTCAGTGGCAGCATCCAGCCGCAGGATAAAACTGGAAACGATTAAGGGAAGGCGTAGGAGGCAGCTCTGGAATCCAGATTCTGTTAGGGGGAAGAGGCTCAGGATTTCATCTCACATCTAGAGTTCATGTTTGATGTTACCAGTACTGTCATTTTATACCCCGATTCTAATGTACACTTAGTGTGAAGCATTCCTCTACACTGTAAGGACTGGAGATATAGGGTCTTTTCACAAGTGATGCTTTTCTCATTTTCCCCAGTCTTCACGTTTCCACATCGGTTTGCAACATGAAAATTCAACCTCATTCCAGTGTGAACTTCTCTTAAGGTACACATTTGTACACCCAATATTCACCTTTTTGCGAAGCAACTTCCCCTGAAATACTGAACTTTTTTGTTTTGTTATTTTCACTAATATATGCATTTTAACACACACCAGCATATGCATTTTTGTCCACATGAGTTGGCTGGAGAACTGCATCACAAAATTTAGGAAAGTGTGAATTCTGAAGGTTGGCTGTGGTTCGCTTCTCATATTGTTTCAGAAAGTGCCAATTAGGGCGGCTCCCCTTTAAACGCAAGCCCACTCGTCTTCCTGCTCCATCCTTATGAGCAACCTGGTGGAAGGTTTTTTGTTAAAGCCTCCCAAGCCACACTTCCCTTTTCTCAGCAATCAAAGTGAAAATGAAGAGAGTCTCGCATACAAGAGGAAGACGGAGTTCCTCGCATTCAGCAGCCTTTTATGGATTCAATTATGCTTCTCCCTTGTTCTACTTTGAAAAGGCAGAACAGAAAACTTAATTTTAACACTGGGAGAAAAAAAACCTATGAAGGCTCTTCAATTATTTATAACATTAAAATGTACAAATGTTTGATCAATGAACTTGGGGGGGAGAGACAAGTTAAACTACAGAAATGTTTCACAATGCTCTAAAGTTCATGTGGCAGAGATAGAGGAGCAAAAGGATTATTAGTAGATGAAGAGCAGCATTTTAATAACATCCAGGCTGTTATAATGAGCCTGACAAAAGCAAGGAATTTCAAAGCTTGGGCTTCTCTGAGGCTCCCTTCTTCCTAGACACATGATGCCAAATGCTATAGAACAGATAGGACAGCAACAGAGATGCATGTTTTTCTAATCCCAGCAATCAGGGCCAGCCACCCATGAGGCAGGCTGAGGCCTCTTGGGCTCCAGACCGCCTCTGCTAGCTGTGGTGATGGCTTCCGGTGACATCTCACCAAAATCTCGTCAGATCTCATGGAGTGCACGACATCTTGTGGAATTTAAGCAAGATCTTACTGAAACGTACTGCCACTGCTTCATAGTCATTGCTGCGCAACATGGATAAAGAAGGCTTTGGCAGAGCAGGGCAGCATTGCAGTTTCCCATTTTGCCTCAGGTGGCATGACAAGATAAGCTGCTCCTGCCAGCAATATTAAAACCATGGAAGAGAGGGAGAGGAAGTAGCCATGCCTCCTCACTTGGTATTTGTATTGCTGCAGATACACAAGTGTTCCATTGGTGTTTTCTGCAGCAAGCACATAAACTGTAAATGACAGGTCTTCAAGCTCTCGTGTCAACATGCCAAAGCTCCAAGGCACATCTACATTGGTGCCTTAATGTTGCTCTTCAGCAGTAACAACCACAGAGAAACTACATGCTTTAAGAAGCACTTTTCCTAATATAAACACCACATTTTCATGCTGTTTGTTCATCTGAGCAATTACTTTCCCCTTCCTGTGGTCTATCTGAAAAGGAGGCAAACTTGGTTTGCCCCGCCCCTAGGACACACGCCACGTCCCTCTGGGCAGTGTGCCCCACCCCCGGGATGCACGTAAGCCCCACCTCCGCCTGCTCTTCACCCCCTGGTGCTGGAGCATGAAGCTCCGCCACTGCTTGGTTGTATCCAATGAAGTGCAACAGCAGCGATCATTCAGTTTGCAATGTAAGGGTTAATACTGTTAGTGTTAAAGTCAATTAGCTAAGAGTGGGATAGGTGGAGGTGTTGCTTAGCAACCAGACACAATAGCATGATTTTCGCTGAGCTGGTACATACTCTGGCTATGTTTGTTTAGGGGAATATATTCTTGCTATGTGCAAAGCCTGAAGTAAGGAAAACAAAACCTCTGTTCATTTGTCCTCTAATTATGCATATATTTTGTTCAGTTTGCTTAGTAAAGTGCTGTCAGGACTTTCCCCTCTGGCCTCTGGGTTATTTAAGTGTCTTTGCTAACACTGACAACTCCTTGGTAATTCTTGGAAAATTTTGACTCACACAGTCCCAACTTGTGTGAAGTGTTTTCTTAATTTCCTTCCTACTAAGACTTCTCCACCCCTTGTTCCTTTCCAGGTAGAGCTCAGAAAATCCTGTTTCAAATAATGGAAAGCCACTACCAGTCAGTATAGACAATACTGAGCTAGATGAATCAATAGGCAGCTTCATATCTTTCTTTCCTATCGAAAAACAGTTCAGAATCAAACAAACTGGACATAACTTCCTTGGAAATTGCCCCATGTGCCCTGAGCAATGACATCACAAAGAGAAAACACATAGAAATGGGGAGATCATCCTATTAGGGCACCAGGGGGCAGTAGGGAGACACTCAGAAATTGTAAGATTTGAAAAATTGAGTTTGTTAGATTCTGTGGCTTTTACACTTGTATGGAAAGTAAAATGGCTAAATGTTGACATGGATAATGCAGTGGTCACAAGGACAAAACCATCTCGGCAATCACCTGGTGCAACTCAGGCCGGATCACAGGGGCAGGAAATGTCAAATGTCAAATGAAAGGAATTCAACTTAACTATTTTCTGGACATAGTACTACTGTTGTTTATACATGGAATGGTCTTAATATGGCAGATCACTGAAACATGCCATTCTCCCACCTCTGTTCCAAAAATGGTACAGTCCAGCAAAGGCTGACTTATCAACCAGGTTGTTTCTGCGGTCAAATAGATGCTAAATACACCTTAGCATTCCATGGACTCTGGACTGTGAGATCCAGCAGATATGAAAGTGAAGCCAGAATGGGAAAAGAGATGACCAGAGCAGAGATGGTGCTCACACTAAAACTGATTTACTGCAGCAGCAAAGCACCATATGGCAGAATTTGTTACTGGGCTATATGTATAAAGAAGTTCTACAGTATGTATGTGCCCTCAACAAAACACAGGTGGAAATCAAAACCTGGTTTACTAGTTCAGCATGGAAGGTGCATGTTGTTCAGTGTACAAAATGGGGGGGGGATGGATGAATCAGTTACTCACTGGGTTACAGCTTCTGAATGATCAATTTTCCAGTGCCCCCCACCCACTGGCCAGACAACTATGGCCAGCAGATGGGAAATATCTGGATTGATCTCAAGC